TAGATCCAGCCTTCCACATGCTCGTACCCATTGCAGCCATCTGTAAATGTTGTACCATTTTACCAATGACAAAGTAATGCACACATTACAATTAAAAATATAATTTATATAAAAAATAATTATTATATAAAGCAATGTGTTATACCTGTCTTGTTCCTTTGGAAATTAAAAAAAATCCACCATCAGTGTTATCACATCTCGGTACTTTTCCACGCCAAATATTTCTCTTTTCTTATGGCAGTTTTTCTATGTTTTCGCGTTCGGTGTCGCCCGCGGTTCTCAACCCGAGCTTCGTAATTACTCGCACGCATACGCATGGGTCCCCTTGGACCCCGCTCCCACGGTTCCCGGGTCTAAGGTTTGTGCGACCGAGTGGTCCCGCTGACCCCTCGGCGCCTCCCCTAGTGACCCTCCGTCCGCTACTTCCCTCCGGAGTATCGCGGTTACCGACTTCCGGGGGTCATTGTTTTGACCCCGCTATCTCCGCGGCCGGTAGGATTATCGCGTCGCGGGTCGGTCGGGTGACGTTCGGGTCCCCCCTGAGGCGGACTCCGCGGCTCGGCCACCGGCTGTGACCGCCGTACCCCTATGCGCGGGGGTCATTGTTGTGACCCCGCGATCTCCGCGCCCGGTGGTATTAGCGCGTCGCGGGTCGGGTGGTTGGCATCAGGGTCTCTCCTGAGACGGACTCCGCGGCTCGGCCCCCGGCTGTGACCGCCGTACCCCTATGCGCGGGGGTCATTGTTGTGACCCCGCTATCTCCGCGCCCGGTGGTATTAGCGCGTCGCGGGTCGGGTGGTCGATGTCCGGGTCTCCCCTGAGACGGATTCCGGGGTTCGGCTCCTGGCTATGACCGCTGTACCCTCGTTCGCGGGGGTCATTATTTTGACGCCGCTATCTCGCGGGCCCTTCGCTCGATTTTCGCCGCGATCGTCCCTATCTCCTCCGCTCGGGTCTGCTGACGAGGCCCGCTCGTTGTCTCGTTCGGTCCTTCATCTGCGGCTCGCCTGCCGGGGTCAATCAGGCCCCGGTTCCCCTATTCGTCGCGTCGCTATATTTTAAGATGAACGCTAGCCATATGGGCTTTTCGGACTCGCTTATCCGGTATTTAGCCTAAAGAAATATCGCTGGCCGCTGCTCCCTTGGTTGCTGCTACCCCTCGGGTGTCCTCGGCTCCACGGCTAGGCGAACGGTTGCAAGGTCGGAGGAGGAGTGTGAGTGTATGTGTGAAGGGGTCCCCCGTAGGAAAGTCCAACCAAGTCCCTGCAAAGGGGTGGGAGGGTTCAGTATGTGAAGGGTCGCCTACGGCCAGGTCGGGTAGAGTAAGAGAAGCTTTGTAAAAGGTTGGGTACGTCCCTACAAAACGCCATTTCTGTAATTCCTTGGAATTGGAAATAAACCATACTACTACTACTTACTTCATACTATACTTACTTATGTATTTTCTTTCATATATTTAATACACATATAATTAATATACATAAATAAATGTTTCCAAGTTTCCATATAGCTCCAAAAAATCAACGGTTTACGATTTAAATCTTTAATTCTGATTTGCTTACAGCATATTATAATTTTCTTGAATATCTCAAAAAGTATTAGGCAAATAAATAGTATATTGTAGGGCGGCAGTGTAGTCTAGTGGTAGAGTGCCAGACGCGTAATCTGAGAAACCAGGTTTGAGTCCACTAGAGCCATGTAAACATGGAATGTTTTTCCGAAAGTTGCGTCCCTCCGTGCAAGATAGGCTTTTGTGCGGAGCAAACTGGGCTCTGTCTTTTGGAAAGAAACGTTAAGCCGTTGGTCCAAAGGATTAAAGTAAGAAGAGAAGGGTAGTATTGAATAAAAAAGTTGAGAACGTCCCTACAAAACGCCTTGCAACCCTGAGGGGAGTCAATAATAATTATATGTGTAACAAGTGCGGGAAGTTGAGAATAGGGTGTGTAACACGTGCGGGTTGAGAATCGGCTCGTGCGTCCACTCCGCACTCGTGTCCAATTTCTCGCGTGGGGAATTGGCTATTTGTCGTACAGATGGCGCGCGCGTAATGGGCCACTTACCACGCACTTTGTAATATAAAATAGGGTGTGTAACACGTGCGGGTTGAGAATTGGACACTCGTGCGGGTGATCGCACTCGTGTCCAATTCTCAACTTCCCGCACTTTTTACACAAATAACTATTGTACAACTAGTGAGAAAACTCGCTTCGCTCGTGCGACCAACTTCACACTCATTTGGACTCGACCACTCTTCCCACGAGTTGTTCATACTATTTTTCCTAACAAAAGCGTGAAACAGGCCGTTTTCGCGCTTGTTTTACAATTTCATTTCTCCACTAGTTAAGAAATGCTCCATTTCTCAATGTTTACGTCACGATTGCGAAATGGATCGTTTTGCTCACTCAAAACAAGCGCGAAAAGCGGCCCATTTCACGCTCGCGTTAAGAAAAGAATTTTTCAAACAAAAGTTGTTCAAATTAATTAATAGAGAAAGATGGTACAATAAAAGAGAGGGGTTTTCATTTAAAAAATATGACTTATATAACATTGTGCTTTGTAGCAATGTTTAATAACTGGAAATTTGTTCGACCTTATAATTTTATAATAAACTTAATATAACGTTGAGTAATAGCTAATAATAATAATAATAACTGTCTTGTGGTTTGATAAGCAAATTAATTTTATTATTAAAACTTGATATGGATAGAAACAATAAAAACATTGACAAAAACTTACTTTGATGATTGACAAAATCTTATAAAAAGACAATTACTAAATTTTTATTAAGAAAAATTTTGGATTTATACAGGAGAATAGATTGCTTAAGTTTTAGATTTCTTTATTCAATTCTAGATAATGTTAATTTTTATATAATATTTTAAACACCATTGTACCACGTCATTCTCCGATTTTCTTCGCGTTGTAGTTCTGCAATTATACACAGATAGAATTTCAAAATCACTTCGCATTCATCAATCTTGCTTTTAACTAAAAAAATATGTATGCAAATGTAATTATACAATATGTGGTTAGATTCCGATAACTCTGGCGCCTTAATTTGATGATGGTTTCTGGTAGTACTTTTAATGCTGAACAAAAAATTATATAGGTCTTATAAGGCTAACAGCTCTAATTTTCGAGATATACAGTGTTAAAGTTAAAAATAAATAATATGAATTTTTAAATAATACTTCAATTGTGTGTGTATAAACAGTACACACGTAAGCGAGGGAGGGGCTACCGCATCTCCCCTGAAATTAAATATATCTATGCTAAGCACAAATACTGTTATGTTTCACGTAAAGAATGTACACAAGAACACGCATATTTTTTCCACTCGAGACAAAAACGTAAACAACGTAAGATATTTTGAGGTCTACCCTCTTTTTTCTGACTTAAATATAGGGCGAAACAAGGTTTATCATTGTCACGGTTCGTGTTTTCAATTTTTCACGCGAACCGAGGTTCACCCCCATCTCTCCCCTGCTTTCGGGAGAAGTGCGGTAGCCCCTCTCTCGCTTACGTGTGTACTGTTTATACACACACAATTGAAGTAATTTATTTTTAACTTTAACACTGTATATCTCGAAAACCAGAGCCTTATAAGACGTATATAATTTTTTGTTCAGCATTAAAAGTAGTACCAAAAACCATCGTCAAATTAAGGCGCCAGAGTTATCGGAATCTTGCCCAATATGTTATACGTTATTACATATCTATTAATAATAAAATATTAAATTATTACAATAAACTAATTGCAGCTAAAAATTTGAATTTTTGAGAATTAATTAATTTTTGATATTATCTAACATATACATAAAATTGTAATTACACTAATTAATTATTCTAATTAATTATTATAAATTAAGTTCAGTTTATAATTGAAATTAGTAATTAAAATATGTATATATTTTCTGGAAATTTATTTTTATCATATTTACTTTATATATAATTAATATTTTTACCATGATTAGCACATGTATCCAAAATTTGATTGCGCATAGCAATAAGCCTGAAGTTTAGGTGCATTCTGGCGTCCATTATTTTCTTTATTTTTTCCACATTGATATGTACACCTGACATCTAGAGATTTTGCATATGAATGAGTAATAATAAAAGGTATAAAAAATAAAGGTAGTAATAGTAAAGAAGTAAATAGTTGTAAGAATGTATATAAATAAAATAAAAATTATTAAATGAAGCTAAAAATACATGAAATAAAATCAATAAAAATTAAAAAAAATTTTTAATATATAGATGCTTCTGTAAAAAGTAAATAAAAAAGCATATTATTTGACATAAAGAAATAATTGCAACGTATTTAATAAATTATTTTATCACTTTTTAAATTCTTACCACATCTTTCCTCTGTAAAAGACAGACAAATAGACAACCAACTTTTAAAGCTGATTTTTCAATATCCGTCGTCATTATATCGTCGTCTACTAACTCGTCCATTTTCATTAAATCCTCTAAAAAATAAATAATTATAAACATTAATTTGTGGGAAGTACTTTAGAACAGAGGCAGTTTAAAACATCTCGAATAAAGAACAAATTTGTCACTTTTTTTCATGTTAAACGCATTTTTCAGTTGTCAACTGGTCAATAAACAAACTTCACATGAGAGCTTTCGCTCTGTTAGCTGTCAAACTAACTTACAAGCTGTTAATGATTTTTGCTAGCTGTTGTAATTATTATGGCTCGCAAATATAAGTATTTTTATATTAAACTATTGCTCAAAAGGAAATTCACTTGTATGTTCTGGTTATGATTATGTATGTTTTGCATTGTAATGAACGAAATACAACTATATAATAAAAGAATTGGTATGAAATATCACGTTTTCTTTTTTCAAGTTAAGGTTGGGGCAGTATATTAAACAAAGAGAAATTTGAAAGAAAAATTTGTGAGACTAATTCTTGCCTTAATTAAGGTTCCAATAGGTGAACACTTTTTAATATTAGAAAGAATCATTTTAATTACAGAGAATTAAAGAAG